TAAGAGAATCTTAATCTCGTTGCCCGCCTCGCAGATTTTCTTGCCTGCCCAGAGGTGTAATTTCGGTAATTCAATTCACCGGGACTAATGGCCGCGGGGCGCTCGCGCCCCAAGCCCGGCGTCCAAGATGAACTTGCGCGCTCTGAGAATTTGACGACGCGTTGACGTGGTTAACTGCAGCATTGGAAAGTTGCAAACTAAGCAGCTTCTTACTCGCTCTCCACCCCAAACTATTTTCATTTTCCAACTTTCTTCGTAATCTTCCCTTTCTTTTCTACGCGCTTAAACATAAATACGCTGAAATTTTAGCGAAGCTTTTTTCAGCGCAGAAATAATGATTCGCTCTCATGAGGTTTGTATTCGACATATTTGAAAATTTTCATTGCAATCTAGTGAAAATCGATGCATACTTCTCATTAGGCTGAGTTTGATGAGTTATTTTCGCAATAATATAACTGTCGGCGGTACCTAATGGCGCTATAGGAAATTTCAATAAATACCTCAGACTTATTACAATACGTATTAATTGAAATTCGTATAGCGTAGGTAACTTTCAAGTGATTTCCTGCGAGTTACACCGTTATAATTTACTATTTGCAGTTTTACATTTTGTACTACACTTCAAATGTTCCCTTTATAATATAATAGGATACAATAAAACTCAAATAAATAGCTCAAAGACGAATTTATTTAGTACGAATTAATTGAAATTCCAAACATCGCGTCCGCACGCACAGGAAATTTTCCCACAATGCAATATAACAAAATAAGTAGCGGCAAACTATTTAAAAAATTCATCTATACGTATTCTCATTAGCAGCGCGCGATAGTAAAAATTTTCCAAAGTAATATCCTTTCGAGCACTCTCCTTTTTTTATCCTCGTCTCCATCACGGAGTACGTAATACTTGGCAAAGTTATTTCATCATAACGAAAGCCTTAAAGTCGACGGGGAGGGGCAACGTAGCCACGAGTTGTGTGAGGAAATAATCGAAAATTCAGAACTCTTGAAATAATCCACGTTCCACGCGAGGCTAACTTTTAGCGATACTCCCGCGGCTTTCATTTTCATGATTGCGATCGGTGGCGCATACTTTCTTCGATATTTTCGTGAATCTGCACAGGGATAGTTTGTATATACTTGGTAAGCGCGGCGAATCTGCGCGCGTTGCATAAGAAGACTGGTGTGCTCGCTGAAAGTGATGGGTTGTCACAGCGACGGAAGCAACTATATTGGAAGTTCGCTTCTTGGGATCAGGATGCGCGGAATATGGTATCAGTGCATGAAAGCGCTTCGACCTCACTGAAATGTGTTTTTTTACGAAACCTTACCAAAGGCGTAGATATCAGTTACTTACTAAAATTAATTTACGTTTCTAAAGGAAAATCAAAATTTATTTACATATTATTTCGAATTTTGAGAAAAAGCTAGTGCAGTTCTTTTGCCATTTTTTATTTTTGGTTATTCATCTAATACTCGTCTATAACAGTATATCACACTTTTTTTACTTTTTGACGTAACTTTTTCACACGCACCCGGTGCAATAGCCTCGTTTTATAAAAAAGAGAGAGTGAGAAAAAAAAGTATTGAAAGACCTGTCGTGTGGAAAATTGCCACGACGATCGCGAATTATAATGCAATAATAAAGGCGCGCTGGCTGTCAAACCAGGTAGAATAAAATAAAATTGTGGTAAAAACATCGTGACCACATTTATTTTCGCATGCACATTTTTAATCACATTCATATAATTATATACGAATTCGTAATGATTTTATTACCATTGAATGGTTTATCTTTTTCATAGAGACTGTAACATTGCTTATACTAACAAGAACTAGCTAGCAATATTCATTCTGAATACTCACGAGACTGTTATCATGTCTGAGTTCCCTTGCGATCGCTCGACGCCCGCTCTACCTGACGTGAAATATCAACTAATGGAGCCTCTGGAGAACGTTGCAGCTATATACCGTCGGCTACCTCAAAGGCATTTCTGTGGTCAACTTGGTCTTGGTTTTCGTAATTTGAACATTCGTTCGTGCTAACACATTGTTTCACATTTTAATTCTAACAAAAAATTTTTAATATTGTAGAAAAAGTTTTAAAGAAAGAGAATCAAAGTCGTTTGATTTTTAATCAAAGATAAACATCTCGACGACAACGAAGAGGAGAGAGAGAGTTGAATTTTTGACGCCACCGTAGCACTCGAATATATCTATAGAATATATCAAGATACAAAATCTATAGATACGAGGAGCCGGAGGGCATTTCATCCATCGTAGGCAAGCCCAGCGTTAAGCGAGGTATTACGAACGGACAGCTGGTGTGCACCTAGCGAAAGCCAAAGGCACCACATGAGCTTCGCCCTGTATATCTATAGATATATAAACATAGACGGCTGTACAACCGAGCCAAATACTTTGTGAGATTGGCATATTTCCCAGAGATCGATTTGCCTTGATGAAGCAACCAATCATTTGCTTTGCTTTCTCCATTGCTATTTTTCAGGTATTCCGCGATATCCTGGGAAATCATAATGATTTAATTGCACACCTTTTCTATCTCACTGCAAATTCCAAAGCTTACAATTTTTATGGCTAAACCATATGTTGTTTCTTGAACAATCGTTACTTTTTTTGGTGGAATTATAAACGAATTTCCTACAAAGGCGGTCCTTTGTCAATTAACGCTATACTTCAAAAAAGAGAAGCAAATATCCGAACCCTTTAATTTCGACTAGATGAACATTTTATAATTGAAAACGATCCTCATAATCAAAATTCAAATTGTTTCAATACTCAAAGTTAAATTTTCGCAAAAGTTTCTCATTTTTCCTCCCATCAAACGCTTCAAAGGTATAAATATGGCGTAAAACAGTGTAGCCTTTGAGATAGAAGCGGTTCTACTCTGTGACGTAGTAGGTAAGCGCAAACAAGGAACTCAATTTCCTCCAGCTGTTAATATCCTATTCGGCCATACGAAAATGTTCGTTAGGGCATTCCGTTGTCAAACGTCAAACACCAGATGAATTTCTAATTGAACAAAGCTACGTAGCAGCGCTACTTTAATCGACTGCCCTTTAATTTCTAACTGTGTACATTTTACAAAGGCTTGCTGGCAATTCGCTGAATAAGCAATATTATTTGGTCAACAAAATCGATTTCACGCATATAAAGGTATTACTAACGCTACTGTTGCTGATATATACGTGCCTTGAGTAAACATAGCCGGACTATGGATAGCATCAGTAGAAGCGGAGTATATGATGTATCGCTTCGTCAGGTATATCTGCATCTCTTTACGAATCGATATATATATATATATATATATATATATATATATATATATATATATATATATATGAGCTTGAATGTAATGAAAATGTGCGACGCTGACCTATTTTCTTTACCGATAGGCTATTTTCACTTTTTTGCTTCAATCACTATTTGCCGAAGTTTTCCTAATAGATTTGTCTATACTAACCATGTCTATATCCCTTCAATTCTGCGGCTATATTTTACTTTTATGCATTCGATCTGCATTTTTCAAATTACTAAAAAAGAAAGTAAACCACTATCACATATCATCGAAAAATACACATGTGAAACTAAACAACGTTTCATTCGTACGTACCATGAGCGATATTCAAGTGAGACTATGTGCCGATAAAGAAATATCGAACTTCGTTCAAGTACTGCTACAGATATTATTTCGATTTATCGTAAAGGCAGTTAGTTTTCAAGTAACGTTCTCAAGCGAGAACTGGATCTTATTTTTAAATTCATTCAGCCGGAGGTCAGGAGAAAAAGTACATCAACCGAGTGACTATATTCAGCTCAGACGAAGTTTGTTTGTCTTACCAGCTGTTTCAATTAATCCTCTATTTTCAGCAAAAAGAAAGTTTATTATCTGCATAGACTGCTTGCTCAACAGCCACCGCGAGAGATAACCTAACTCTTTTCTTTTTTCTTATTCGTCAAACTATGAAGCGTCAATGCTTCGCAAACAAATGGCATTCAGCGTATCGATACGAAAAACCGCAGCAACTCTCATCGCGTTATAAGCTAGGCGAATCTTTTGGAGTGCATCGAAGCTCGGATTCCCGTGGAAAACTCGCCGCAGTCGTACAGATACTCGGGTTTTATACACACTACGCTCTGGCATGACGCGCTTGATGCAAACACCGAGGAAGCTAATTTGGTATATCGACGTGCACGTGCGTGAGTCTGCGGTATAAAGGTACGTGCCGCGCGATTTGCCAGAGACAGCTACTATACTACGCTGCGGAATCGAGCCGCAAATATAACGTGGTGGCCCACGGCGATTCATCGTTGCCCTGTAGCAATATATAGTCTGTTTCTCGCACGTGAAAAACTATACCTAACGTGGTAATGAAGAGTTTTGACTGAATTTAGTTTTATGAATTGTATTTATCCTGGCGATTCAATAATTGAACCACAATGGTGCTCTTCATACGTTTTGATACAAAAGCTTCATCATTTTTTTGTATTACAGTTTTAAATTATTTTAATTATACAATACTGATAATTGCATATTTAGAATTCTTAAAAATATTTTAAAAATTTTAGCGACTCTGATAACAAATTTATATTATTCTTATTCATTTTCAGTAGTATGAGACAAATATGGTCAGCCATGAAACATACGCCTTAATATTATATTAAGTTGAATATAATATGTCATTAATATAATGAGTCAATATGTCATTGAATCAAGGTCCGCTTGTACAGAAAAAATATCTATTTACATAATCCGTACTTTCCATAATATAATTACAACAAAGCTTCTCTTCAATTTGTGAATGCAAAGAAAAATAAAAAGTGATAGTAGCGATCGAACATTGTGGAAAAGTGGATAGAGGAGAAGGAGTAGAGGTCGGTGAAATCTCATGAGTGGGAGAGTGGAGAATTTCGCCTACCAAAGATCGTTCTGGTTTTTCGGTGAGCTTGTGCGCAGCAGAAGCCGTCTAGCAGCTAAATTGGATCCCGCGCGAGCGCGAACGACTTTGAAGAGCCGCGAGGAGGTATTTCTCAGGAAAAATTTTCTTTCTCGCGAGACACTAATTGAGCAGTTGCAGAACTTCAACGACCCCGGAACACGAAAGTTTCTTCTTCTTTTTTTCTTATTTTCACGGCGTCGCTTGAGGTAAGCATGGTAATGATGTCTCAGGTCTCTTGGAAACTTCACTAACGACTTTACATTGTTTTTGTGTGTCCGGATGTTCTTCTTCTCTCTCTCTCTCTCTTTTCGACTACGCATAAGATTAATTGAGATTAATGAAGTAATTAAGGTCTTGCACGTAAAATGTCTGTGTGTTCTGTCTTGATAACTGTATAAAGTTTTAGTGACTTTGTATCGGGATTAATTATTTTTAAGTGTACTTATATTTATTATACAACCAATTCCAATAAAAAATTTCAGCAGCATATGTGTAATGTTTTTTTAATAAAAGAAAAATTGATCTTTTACATCTTAAATTAAAAATACACTTGATTGCATCGAACTTCCATCTTGTTCCAGGTTTCATCCGAAGCACGACCGCATAATCCTATTTTTGACTGTCATTCAGGCTTCGCAAGTGGAGCAGAGAGAGTACACGTACAGCAAGCTATATAGTACCCCCCCCCCCCCCCCACCTCCTCACACACAACGACAGCAGCGTTCAACACGATGAGGCGTCCGAGGCAAGCAAACGAGAAGGCTGCTACTGCTGCTGCTGCTGCTGCTGCTGCTAGAATGGGATAATAATTCGACGAGGCAAACACGACGGTATGGTAAACTACGGCTGTACGAAAACCGGAAGTGGAGGCGTCGAATGCTTCGTTGAGTTCAGTGAGATTTATTTTCTATTTGGCTATACATTTTTTTCTCCTAGCCTGTGGTAGTTAAACGAAAGCATTTAATTAATAGTGCGAGCTCGGGTAGATTGTTCGCTGATACTTTATATCAGAAGATCAAGTAGCTTTTTCATATAAAAGAAATGAAGGATTATGAAAACTTATTAATTGCACTAATTGCTACAAAAAATTTACCGCGCAAAAAGTTATTTGGTATTCCATTTTGGAAAAAAATTGAATTATGATTAGTTCACGGAGACTTTTATTAATGAACATTCTTAGAATAGTAATAAGCACTATACAGTATGAATCTTAACCTCTAAGAAGAATCTCATTAATTTATATAATTTTTTGTGATGAATCATAGGAGAATCGCTTAAGGAAGAAGACCCTGAAGGTATGGGAATAATGACAAGATGTATCGAACTTTCCGCTGTCATTGGATCCTTCTTGCTCATCCTTATTACAATGCCATTTTCTCTGTGCGTCATTTTTAAAGTCGTACAAGAATACGAAAGAGCAGTTGTGTTTAGAATGGGTCGATTGAAAGGTGAACCTCGAGGTCCAGGTATACTACATATTTCAATTTTATCACATCTGTACAATATTAAATTTAAATATAGTTAATTGAATAGTTATGTAGAAAAATGCTTAAATGTTTGAAATATTAATAAATTTTCTTGATCAAGCAAATCAATTTTCAATAAAAAAATTTAATTATTCATCATACTTTATACAATTGCGAATTATCTATAATTTTATTAAATTAAAACGCGATAAAAGTAGATTTGTGTGAATATATTAAGAATCATTGGTTAAATATGCCTTAACATGAAAATTTTGAAATATGATTTTCAGGTACATTTTTCGTAATCCCTTGTATCGACAACTGCGTACGAGTTGATTTACGTACCGTGTCATTCGATGTGCCCCCGCAGGAGGTCCTTACCAAAGACTCTGTTACTGTCAGCGTCGATGCAGTCGTCTATTACCGTATTAAGGAGCCCCTCAACGCCGTCGTCAAGATTGCGAATTACAGGTAACTAATTGGACTATTAAATGCTAATTACTCATTACTCTTAGCTAATATATTCTGATAGATAATTTGCTGAGAAATTTCAACTTATCATTTTTTAATATTAATTTTATTAATATCATTGACATAAATCATTACGACATTGGAGTTTTATTTTTATTTATATTTATTATTTACGCTCTTTTCCTTCTTTCCTTCTGCTTTATAGAACATTATATATTTTATAAGCAATATTGCTTAAAAAACATAATATGAACCTTTGCTTTATACACTTATTTCTTGAAAACTTTGAGCTTTACATTTTTTAATATCCAATCTATTCAGTTTATTTGAAACAAATATAGAATAATGAAAAAATCTCTTATCCTACGTAGATTGCAGACTTAGTTTTCATTTCGAATATGTGACTTATAATCACATAACATGAAAGAGTAATAATCCTTTCTTTCTTTGTTAAGTAAATAGAATTTTATGAGATTAAACCATTGCCAGTAGAAATCTATAGAAAGTTTTCCATTACATAGACAATCCAGCCAACGCGTTTCAACATAGAATTCTATGGTCGTAAAAAAATTTCCGATAGTTCTTGTAAACAGAGCTGGCGTATTCATAACGTAAACTCGGATTTTATTTTGCATGCTGCAGTTGAACAAAAAATGAAAAAAAATAAAATAAACGAGAAAGCAGCATTCGGAAGCAGGAGTTTTAATCCCGTTATATGCCTATATAACGACATACACCAGCCAGCCAACGCAATTTATTTAGCTTTATTTTTTACGGGTCAACACTGTGTGCGAATTTTTTTTCCTCTCAAATAAAAGAGGAAAAAAAAGTAGAAGAAAAAGTCTACAATTGTTTAGCTTGTAAATCCATGTGCATACATAGCCACTCAACGCGACTATTGGCCGCGAGTACTCTGCGTACTGTTCTCGGCACAAGGAGCCTTGCCGAGATTCTAGCTGAACGAGAAACTATATCCCATACTATGCAGGCATCACTCGATGAAGCCACTGATCCCTGGGGAGTAAAAGTCGAGCGTGTGGAAATGTCAGTATCCAAGTTTGTATGATTGGTAAAAATTTTGAGTAACGAATACGGAAATTCAACGTACTCTTTCATTCGGCCAGAAAGGATGTGCGACTGCCGGTGCAGCTTCAACGAGCGATGGCTGCCGAGGCGGAAGCAGCTCGCGAAGCTCGAGCTAAAGTGATTGCAGCCGAGGGTGAAATGCGCGCTTCGCGAGCCCTTAAAGAAGCAAGTGATGTCATATCTATGAGTCCTGCTGCGCTTCAGGTAATCGCGACAATTAAGTTGACTGAAGCTTCGTAATCCGTAATTTACACTGTTGACATCTCCAATTACCTCCCGTCAGTGCTCCCTCACAACACTATAAACACTTTGAATTAACTAATTTTTCACACTGCACCAAGGATTTATCAGGACTTTTTTATTGTTTGCTTTCTTAGCTGCGGTACTTACAGACTCTCAACAATATATCTGCCGAGAAGAATTCTACAATTATTTTTCCATTGCCGGTTGAATTATTAGCTCCATTTTTCACGATGAGGAGGCCACCTGTGTGTGAAGTCAGTACAAATGCAAGGACTAACAGCAAACTGGTCTAATTTTTAAATACTATTACGTTGCTAAGTCAAACAATCATAATATTCATTGTCATGTTCGTTATATTTGAATATTATATGTGATCTCTTCATTTATTTCAATGTTTTAATTCTAGTGTAATAATTTTCCTAGGTTAACATTTAGTTTCAAAAGTAGACTTGTTAGTTTTATCCATTTGTGAATATAGCGGCAATTTATTTGACATTTACTAATTAAAGTTAACGAGTTGTGGTACTTTGTAAAATCGAGATTTCGGGGAATTCGTCTAGTTAGCAAAATAGTTCCACAGTTCTCTCGCGGGCAAAACATCCATTAACGAAACTTCAATATCCTACCTGTATTTGAAAAATCAAATTTTAATAAATCTTTTGCTCTCGAGAATCGGTAATCGCAAATGAAAAAGCTCAGATTAAAACTACTTGAGGTTAGAAAAATTTTGGCGAGTAAATTGTTCAGAGCAAAGTATATATATATATAAAGTCAGTAAGTATATTCATTCCTTTCATTTAAAACGATTTCTGCAAATACTCGCAGACACTTCAACTACTGGAAATATTTTCACCACGAGCTTTCATCGACTCGGTAAATACTCCTCACCCTCGTTCTCACTTTGACGAGCGAATTTCTGATTACGCGCATACCTCGCAAACCGATCATGTCAATAATGGCAATGATGCAGGCGTTGATTTTTATTATAAGAACTTTTACGAATTTACTCTGCCTTCTATACGTGAGTGTACATATGACCGATCGAAAGTTTCAATATTTTTCACTTCCGATTAACTTTACGTTCGACAGATATTTCGCGTGATTGATGTACTAACTGATTGCTTTTTCGTGGCAAAAACATTCAAAGCACAACATACACAACGATGAAAACATACTAAAAATGAAATTGAAAGCAGTATTTCTGCGTGATAAACGTGGCAGTTTGGCCGCGAATAAAAGCGACTCTCATACGGCAATGCCTTCGGGATTTCTATCATGCGTCTCTTGCGTTTGACGTTTGCGTTTGAGCTTCGAGAAGGTTTCTCAATGAAATATTTTACTTCTACTTTATGTTACTGCAAATAATAATACTTATACGTAGAGACAGGATGGTATCATGAAAGTATTGCTAAATGACCCCTGAAATCGATTATTCGAAATATGTATATGACGCGCGAATGAATCCCTTTCGAATTTCCACCGCCAGGAACAATTCACGCGAAAATAAACCCAAAACGATCATACGGCCGCACGAATTTAATTGTATTTTATTGAAAGTGGCTTCCTCTCTTGAACATTTTCGTTTTTGTAACGTTTCATGCATTCGATAAAATAGCTTGATTCTACAAACGCATCGCTTTTACGATGTTTCCGAGGGACGGTAGAGCTTTCTTACTGCCTGCCATTATGTTCGGATAAGGTTTCGCCGTTTTAACGAGCTCGCGCAGTTCTCGAAAAGGCACCACGCGTTATCGTATATTAAAAGACATTCCGTTCTCCATCTCTAGTTTCTTTGTAACCTACGCCTCTTATCCTTACTCCTTCTTTCGTCTTTGTGACATATGAAGAGCGGCGAATGCTTTGGCATGCGATCGCATTTAAAATGATTCTTTGCATTGGATGGACTTGCTCCTCTCTTTTTTCTCCTTCTTTCGTGAGCTCGTTCCCTTCGCTCTTCACTTAGCTTGCCTATGTTTTAAAAGGCTTGGGTATGTCTTTTTCGTCATTAAAATACCAAGAAGACGGTTGTTGAGAAGACGGTAATCTGTCAAAGGCCAGCTGTGCCACAAATAGTCTCTAGGTTATGTATTTTCATTAAAATGAACATTTTCCTTTATTTTTCGAGTATTGCATAATTCTTCAAACATCAAGTCTGTAACCTAGAATTCTCTACTTTAAAAGTAGATGAAAGAACAAGGTTCACGAATATATTTATAATTATCACGAAGAAAATATTCAACAATGATACTTATAGTACATCCTAAATCTTGTCGGTTGTTATTTTCACGTAAACAACCTCCAGAAACTGAGCAAACGAAGGGAGAGGTGCTGCAAAAGAGGGTCGAGAAAAAATAAACAACAATGGCAGATCCGAAGGCAAAACTGAAATACAAAAAAGAGAGAGAGTGAGAGAGAGAGAGAGAACCCCACTCGTTCTCTAAACAAGCCGCACATGGCATATACAAGTGAGCTAGGTCAAGATAAATAAGTCCCATTGTTAACGAGAGAAAGAACTCCCGGAACACCAGAGCAGCAGCGAGTAATTAATTCTTGGCGCGCGTGTAGCGGAGAACGGGAGGAGGGGGGCGAAATCAAGAAGGTGGCTCACTCACGTCGTACCATTGTTTCTAAGCCGCTACGCGCGTACAGAGCATTGTCGACAGAGAAAAGACACGGAAGAATTCAGCCTTTGACTACACGTCGCTTTGCTATTCGGATGCCATCGAGTGAATGAACGCGCTGGAGCTCGAAGTTTTGCTGCGGCTAAATGCTTAACGCTCGCGGCGCTTTACGTCGTCAACGGTTCGATTTTTTTCCATCCGCTCCTTTGCTTTTGGTGTCGTTCTGCACGGACCAATAATTAGCTTATCTTTGCAGAATTTTTTTTCACTAATAGTGCAAAAAATATTTCTGTAATAATTATTGCACTTTCTGTCAGTTTTCGTTGATTCTCGTGACGTTGTCCAAAAAGCCATGCCATTGTACAAAATGATGAATGGTCAATAACATTTTTTCAACAGCATATCGCACATTTATTTTTTTTGCGGCATACTACTACTGGACAACTAAAACTTTATGACTGTTGTCTATTTCTTGTTATATGAGCAATGGTATTTTGGACAAGCGAAAACGTTAAATCCCCGAAAAATCTAAGAAAGTCCAAAGTAAAGCAAAAGAGGGAAACACTGAAAAAGGCAAAGCCGTAACAAGAAAGAAAGAGCAAGTTTCTTGGCAAGCCTCTCATTTTCCCTCTTCCTTTCTCTCTTTCTCGTTCTCGCTCGTCTGGAATGATTTCTCGAAGGGATATCCTCGGGAAAATGGGTGAGTTATGTTGTTTAGAGCTGCTCGTGTTTCGATGCGGCGCACCCGAAGAAACGTGACCGGAAGACAGCGTATATATAGTTGCATTCGTGTTTGAGCGCTTGCACAGACCAAAGAGATAATATTTTATTTTACCAGAAGCAACAAAAAAATCACCCTGATTACGTACGGTTTCTGCGTGCATTCAAGTGTAAATCAGATTCTATCGACTTGACTCGTTTTTTTTTCTCACTTCCACCTTTTTTCCCTGCCTGCTTTTAAATATTTATTGTTTACCAAGAGACAACGAGTAGAAAATTGTGTTTGCTCTCTTCATCTCTAAGTACTCTGCGTCATTAAGGAAAAAAATTTTTCACATGAAATCTGTGCACGTATAAGAATGTGATTATAATGAAACTTGTCTATCACAATTTTTACGCTAATTTTTTGCTTTAGATTGTTTTAACATAAAAAAAATTAAAAAAAACGCCAAGATAGAATATTTTATCTGCATATAGCAAAGTTAAGTGTTATTTTCACGCCACTTAATTTTTGCTTTAAAAAAAAAATATATATATATATATATATATATATGCTTGCTGCTTAATATTCTAGCATGTAAATTTATTCTACGCGCGGATCTGCTTATGAATAAAGCCATGTAAAAAAAGTCGAGGTTCGCAAAAACTTCATGTTGATGAGCATAAGACAGCTAGCAACTTGTGTTGGTATTTCCTTTAAAATACCATCACGTTTGTTTTTTTTTTAATTTTTTTAGTTTCTATTTTACTTCTATTCTTTTATACCTTACCTACACTACGTAGCGATGTAAAAATCTATTCAGATTGCTGAACGTAGATCGTTGCTTGAATTATATAAATAAAGCCTGGAATATAAATAACTTTTGCCATAAATATTCTAGATTCTCTCAGATATTAAATAAAATTATGACCGAAAAAATAGATCTCGCACTTTTTAAAATAAAAATTCAAATAAGTACAACGAGCTACAATATATTACGAGTACTGAATTAAAGTAATTGCAATTCATTACATAATATATTAAGATGAATATTACGAGTTCATCTAACTCTTCTCCGAATCAAACCAGACAAATCCCACAACTAAACTTCCCATATCAGAAAAATCAAGCGACCTCGCGTAGATAGATTCAAATTGCAAATTTCACCTTTCTTCAGTTAAATTATCCGTAGGCAAAAGAGGAGAAACCTATAACTTCGGAGTGAAAATAACACAGCGAAGCTGAAAAATAGAGACGAGCAGGCGCCTGAAACATCATCCGAGCGAGCGCGAGCTCGGTCGAAGAAAAACATCGGCGAAAAAAAGGGGGAGGAAGAAGGAGCGCGAGAGGCTCTTATATCAAAACAATAATAGGTAAGGGTCTCTCACATTGCCGGAGGCTCTCATTATGCAGCCTCTTAGAGGCTGGCTGGCGCGCAACTCCCATTGCTCGTAAATATGAGTTACGGCCGGCCGAAATGGCTTCGCTGTGACGCGCGCGAGCGCTCATTCTTTTTCTCGCGCGCGCGCGCGCCACCCCGTAATTTATACTTTTCTTGGGGACCCTCCAATGAATGAGAATGGTGCTCCTCACTCTCTCTCCCCCTTTCCTTTTCGCGCGCGACCGCGCGAACTTTTCGTTTTATATCACTACCAATTTGCCAGAACTTGCCGCGAGAAAGGACCAGTTAAGCTTTATGTGTCGTAAAGTTGAAAACTTTCAAGACTGTCTCGTTTGTTTATTTTAATGAAAGTATACACCGAAGGAGCTTGATGAGAAATTCATAATTTATTATCTTATTCATGGGTCTCGCATTTTTTTCCTGATATTGAACTCCAGGTGCTATAGCATTGGCGCATTTCGAGTATTGTTGCGAGTGTGGTTGCCAATGCTCTTACGGGTCGGTTCCTTAAATCATCTTCAACCTCTTCCTTGACATGCTTTCCAAGTGCTAGCCTCAAATTTGATTTCATTCCCTCAGTCGGATAAATATTTCTACGTTTCAATATTGGCAACAAAGACTACGACGGGAAGGCAAATTCATCGTACAAACCAGCCATGATTTATGGGTGATTAGTTCCGTTAAAGCAACTCCGTTTACTCGCTGGTCGAGCGTTCGCGAAACAGCGCGCCGCTGACACTAAAATTCCAT